TACACAGGATATATAAAATATAATTAAAGCTTTTTATAATAACTCTGGGTCATCATTATGGATGTCAATTAGCATGCTGGGCTAGAAGCCCCCATCATCTCTCTGCAATAGCTTCCTAACTAATTTCCCAGCATCCACACATGCCCCACTCCAGTTCTTTCTCCACCACACAGCTGCTGGAGTGATCTGTAAAATAGAAGAATCTGATCATTTCAGTGAGCTGCTTTAAAAAACCTTTGGTGGCTTCCCATTTCTCTTAATATGAAATCTAAAATCTATAACATAGCCTATAAAGGCCTCCACCCCATCCCTGCTTCCTCCAGACTTCAGCNTTTAGTTGGTTAATTAAAAATATTAATTAAAATGGGTATTCATAAAAAATATATACATTCCATAAATATTATAAAGTTAAAACATTTAAGTGCCATTCATTTGCTAATCTTTGGATGTAAATACAATGTCTTTTGTTTGAGTACTGTATAGTTTTGTGATTGGAATTCAATTTTATTTTTCTTTCATAAACTATATCCACAATGCATCATCAAACCCAAACTGGAAATTAGTTTTCTTTCAAGTCTGGGTTTCTTTAAAGTGGAAAAGGAACTTAATGACACGTCCTTCCGAGAATTCAATTTTTTCCTAAGTGACTTGCCTTTCTTGAGCCTTTCTAAAACATTTAATTTAGAACCAACAGCTCTTATTTTTTTGGCTTTCCCCACAGTAACTGTGTGACATAGCACTACTATAATCTCCATTTCATAGATGAGGAAACTGAAACTTATAAAGATTACCATATTTCATTTTGTACATCTTGAAGTCTAACTATTCAGTTTAATCCAGAGAGTCGTCTGTGATGACAAATGTATTGATGAAGTAACACAACTATTTTTTATAGCCAAGTTTAACTCTAGAAATAATGTGTATAACGAAGATGTCTATTGTCAGTTTATTTGACTTTGCCTAAAACCTCTTAAAAAAAGATTTCAGAGCAAATAAATGATCTAGTCAAAAGGCTTGAATTTTAATTCAGACAAAATCAGTTCCTAGTTGTATGACTTTGAATAAACCATATAATCTCTTTTGGCCTCTGTTTTCTAATCTATACATTGAGGAGGTTCAATTTAAAGGATCCCCAAGTTTATTGCACTCACTCAGCTCCTGGCTCGGCTCACCAAAATTTGTTACCCCAAGGCACACATATCTGGCTGCCTGCCCCCCTTCAAAAGCCAAATGCTGGTGAAAATAGAAGTCAACTTTTATTCAAGAATTCTAGTAACCTGAGGAGAGGTGTTAGGCTAACATATCTGTCCATTACTGGACAGGGGGCCAGGCTAAAATCACTCCCTGGTAAACCTGAAGGAGAATGCCCAGGCTAAAGCCAAAAACTCAGATTTACACAGGGTATTTTAAAGAGGGGGCTGAGGGAATGGCATGTGGGAAATGAAAAGCAGGAGGAAGGGCACTTGAGCAGAGAGGGCTTCACGCAAGGTCTCAGGTGCAAAGTCTCGCCAAGACTCCATCTGGTTTCTCCTCCCTCCTTTGCAGAACAGGTATCTCAGACCCTGAGTACATGTAAGTCTGCAGCTTCAGGCTGGCTGGAAAACAACTTTACACTTATGTAAATAATGTCATCTTGCCCCATAACTAAGGTTCAAAGTATGAAATAACCGTGGGAAAAGAGGAAACTCAGAAAAATGCGTGCTAAGAAAAAAACTATGTCTTTTTAAAATTTGCCTACAGTCCATGCAGTTTTAGGTCCCAACATGGCTTCAGTCTTGCTCACTCCAACATTTCCAATCTCCAGTTGTCTCTGATTATAAAATGTAAAGCCTTCTGATTGAA